TATTTTCCATCTTTACGTGGCTTATTTATTTATCTATTATTACTTTATTTCTTTTACTTCTATTTATTTTTCTCTGAGACAGGGTTTCTCTTTGGAAATCCGCCTGCCTCTGCCTCTGGAGCAATTCCTACCAGTGTGTGCCACCACAGCTGGCTTCTCTATTTACCACTATGTCGTTTCTTTTTCTCTCTCAATTCTACGTATATTTTTAAACACACTGTAAAGCTTTAGAGGTTTTTCTTCATCCAAGTCTGACTTTACTGTAAATCTTTGTTTTTCTGGCCATGTGTCTTATCTGTTAAAACCATGGCTGTTTAAACTGCAGTTTTTCCAAGATTGCGTGCGTTAAGCGTGATTCCAGCTCAGTGTCTCAGTCTATGCTAACATCCAGCAAAAGCTGCTGGCTTGGAGATGTGGTCACTGCCACTTCCAGCTGTATGTACACACCTTTTAATCGTTAGCAGGGCCTCTTAAAAGAACCTTGGTTTTTTTTTTTTTCCCTTTCTTATGCTGAGTCAGGAAGACTCCCTTAAGTGAGCCGCGTGAGTCTCTCTCTGCTTGTAGCTAGCAAAACAGAGCCCACCTGAGAAAAATGCTGCTACCAAGAACCCATGCTTTTCTCCATTCTTTTGTTTCTAAAATTCCTTTAAAGCTTTTGTCGTTCTATGAGGCAATTCATTGATCCCACTCCTGATCATCATTTGCAGAGAGAAGCCTTTTCCTTTTTTGTAGAGAGAAGCCTTTTCCTTGCCAGCTGCTTTGGTTTTTCCCCACCAGTCACCTGGGCTCTGCCACGTTGTAGTCCCCAAATAATGCACAAGACGCTGTATTAATTATGAAACTGTTGGCCTTGCTTGTTTCTTACTGGCTAGCTCTGACTTAAGTATTTACCCCATAACTGCCAATCTAAGTATTTCTCTTACCTGACGGACATATTACTTCTCTGGCGGGCTACATGATGGCTCCTGTGTTTCTCCTACCCAGAGTCCTCCTGGACTCCTAGTCCCACCTATCTTGCTTCCTTATTAGCCAACAGTGCTTTATTGACATATACACAGGACTTCCCCATCAGTACACATACATGAAGACAAATACCTAAACACACAAAATAAAAAACAAAATAGAGGAAAAAATCATTTTGAACACAGCAAAAACTCCCTATCATAGTAGCAGCAAAAACACTCAAAGTACTCAGCAGTAAACAAAAATATGCAAGACTACTAGGTGTGGCAAAGAATCCTGATAATTCCATCATTTGTAGCCAGAGTGGGAGGATTGAGTTTGAGGAAAAAATGACCTAGAAGAAGGAATAAAAGCCTTAATCATGCTATGCGTGTGAAGACCCAGCATGGTATCAGCACAGTTTTCTTCAAAATTACTTCCTAAATTAGTTTAAAAGTTTCTCTATAGGTAGAAATTCCTTACGAGAAGCTAAAGAAATCTAGTGGAGGCAAGATAGAGATGGGGTAGGAATGTCCTAAAAGTACTAAAACAGCAGTTGATACAAAAATATATGTGGGACCAAATCAAACAGACAGTGGGAAGTTTCCAGAAGCATCGTCCTAAAGCACAGATAAGGCGACAGTCCATCCTCAGGCTACAGTAGGAGGTGGTTTTTGTGGGATTTGTCTTGGTGGATGCTGGGCCAGACTTCCTCTTTTAAAGCAGTGCTTGCTGCCAGAAAACCTACAATGGCCTCCAATAGGTTAGGGCTGAACATTTTTGTTATGTGGTGAATACAAAGCTAACATTAATAGTTCCACCAATAGATCAGTCATTCTATTGTAAAAATTGCTTATGAGACTGTGTGTGTGTATATAAAATGATGAAATTTATGTAAGATGAAAAATGTGTGTGCCTTCATTTAATCATGTTGGGACTAGAGGTTGAACCAAAGCACTTACACATAACTAAGCAAGCACACCACTGAGCTCTGCAAATCTTTTGGTATGTTTTATTTTGGAACATTAAATTACCCACTCACAGTGGGTGAGCTCAATCAGGCCTTGAACTTCTGATCCTCTTGCCTTAGTCTCCAAAGCAGCTGGGTTAGAGCCTGCATTATTAGGTATGGTTCATTTGTATTAAAATTCTTAAGTATTTCCAACAGCAAGTCTGATCCAAGAAGAATCGGAACTGCAATTTCCCCTAACTTTTAAACATTTATAATTACATATATTTTAAAGGCAATGAAAAGTGTACCCTGTATACTCTTCAACTCCAGGTTTGTGAAATTAACTTTGCAGGTACATAGAAGGTGACCTAATGACTTAAAACAAACCAGTTTTACTTCCTTCTTTCTATGGAGATGCTGTTTCCACAGTTTCATATGGAAAACCGCCAGTTGTGAAACAGGCCCTCCAATATGAGAATCCAGAGTTTCAAAAAGTGGTATAGATTTCCCCCTAGAAATGCAATAAAGTACTGTCAGCACCTTCCTCAACCTTAACAATAGGTGACATTAAGGAAGCTCTACCAGTATGTGGGTGCTGTCAATCAGTGGATGGATGCTCATTGCTCATGCAGTTTGCATCATCTGCAGGCTTCTATAGAACAACACACCAGTATGTTTTGGGCCCAGTCAGTGACAGCACTCACTTCTGTGGACAGTAAAGATACAATGTCTTTGGGTATGCAGTCTATTGAAGAAACTGTCTCTGCATTTCTATTTTTAAAATGGCCGTCTTCCCTAGTATAGAAAAGCATGCTTTGAGCTGGCATGGTACTTCAGTTGATAAAGCACAAGGCTATAAAGGGCTTGCTTTGCAGGCAGGACCCGGAACTGCGTGAAAATACCAGGCATGCTTGCGATCTCAGCACTGGGGATGAAGACAGACCAGGTTCCTAGAACTTGGTAAGCTCCAGGCCAAAGAGTGAACCTTTCTCAAAGGAGGTGGATGACATTCCTGAGAATGACGTCTCAGATGATACTCCTGCCTCCAAATACACAAGTGCATGCATACACGGGCTCAAACACACTTTTTTTTAAAAAAAGAAACATGCTAAGTCTAGGATTTGGAGAAAACTGACCGACCAAGAATGAAATCCCAGAAGAACACAAACATCCTTTAGCCTGTCACCCTGATTTACCATGGTTGTTCCAAACTCCATCCTTCCTGCCTTGCTCTTTGTCAAGTGTGGATTACTTGTGGGGCTGTTCCTGTTCTCCCTGTATCATTGACAATCTTTGGCCACTTGTGTTTTGTTGACTAGTTTTACAGGGGTTCTGGGCAGTTGCTGAGCCATCAATGCAGTTACTCACAAAACCCCTTGCTGGAATCTGTTGGAACTGTATTGACTGAGGTTTTGGAGGAGGAGACATCTGCCAGTGCTGCCTTTCTGCCCTTGTGCTTTAACTTCTTAGTCTCATAGGATGTTCTACATATAAAACCATCCTAATTACAGATTTTAATTTTTTTCCTTTTCACTTGAGATTGTCTTTTATTTCTCTTTCTTGCCTCATTGCTATGGTTGAAACTTTCACGGCCATGTGGAATAGATGTGGCAAACTTGGGAGTCCTGGTCTTATTTCCTTATTTTTACTGGATTGGCTTTTATCACATTAAGTTCTCTTTTAGTTCTCTCTCCCATATCCCCAGAGCCCTGCCACAGCCAGCTTTCTGCATGATGCAGCACACATGGGTTCATAAAAACACCCAAGGTTGGCTCAGAATTCAAGAGCATCATAGTGACCAGCATAAGGGGAGTCATAGTGCCCATCAGTCTGCATTGTAGCCATGATCTCTATAGTTACAGAGACTTGGTGCTTCGGAGGCCCCTGACAGCACCCTATATTGACTTCAAATTCAGGTCTAGTAGCTGAGGCTTGCTCTAGGAAGGGTGAGGCTGAAACAGTACGTCTTCCCTGGGATAAAGGGATCTGTCAGGATCAAGTTTAGGAAAGAAATGGGGCTGAGGAAGGTCCAAAGGAGGAAATTGAATTGAGAGGGAGCTTAGACATGTTGGAAGGAATTGGGATCTTGGAGCAAAAGTGTAGTCCTGGATGCATGGTCCTCTCGACTCGCTCTACTAGACTTTCCCCTGCCTCATTTTCCCAAAAGGGCTCTTTGTGGCCCTAGATCAGGGGGGCCAAGGCTGACTCTGACCTGAAACTCTTGACAACAGTGACACCATTGCCTTTCCTTGCCCATCTAGGTTCTGCTTGCTGCCCATCTTACCAAGCTAATCCACTGTTTAAGAATACAGTGTATAATATAAAGACCAACAAAGAAATTAACACCACAGCTGGGGTCACTATCAGAGAGGCTGAGGAAGTGTCTGACCTGTCTCTGGCCCACAGCTGCAGTCCACCTCATGGTTCTAACAGACACTGTGTGCATAGTTTCTCAGTACTAGACAGAGTCAGTTTCTTGCCCTGAGAGTTGGGTACACAGGCATTTGTATTTTTCTACACAGTAATGTGTGTCTTCCACAGACTACAGCAAAAGCCTGGAAAGATTTCCTGTACAAGCCCATTGAGCACAGAGGCCTTGCATCTCTTGCATAAAAGCAGCCAGGCCACATGTGAGCAGAGCCAGGTGGCTTGGTGATTTGGCTTAGGACCACATTTTGCCAACTCCAGATTAAACAATTAAGACCTTTTAAAAGAGTATAATGTAGCCATGCCTTATCTTGGGGCCTCCGAGTAGATATTCTAGACAGGGATTTAGATTAGCTGTAAGACTGGAATATTTGATCTAAATCTGACTTTATGTGCATGGGCCACACACTTAGAGGAGATAGCTATTGAAGTGTTGATTTCACCAGGAATTCATCTTTATTAGCGTTTTTAGATGAGCTCATGAAGAGTGTGAAGCGAGGTGTTTTAAACATGGTCTTTGTTCCCAGCAAACATTTCCGGTCTCTAGCTTGTTCCTGGGGATGATTGAGTTTATTTAAATTATAGAGCTGAAAAACATGAACTTGAAACCTGGGTCATTGTGCTGCAAGTTAGTCTTTCCCACCTTATTTTAATGCTGTCAAAAATACTCTTATTGCAGATTGTCTCCGAAGCTTCACTGACCTAGAGGAACTTGACGAGACAGAGTTGTATATGTGCCACAAGTGCAAGAAGAAGCAAAAGTCCACAAAGAAGTTTTGGATTCAAAAACTTCCCAAGGTCAGTGAGTTTCAGTGTATTCTCTGGAGAAGATGCGTGAGGAGAGTTAGATTATTAGCTGTGAGCTCTGCGAACGGATCTGGGAAGTTCGCTAAGGTTTGCAGTCAGAGCTGAAACCTGGTAGTTTATAAGGTACGCAGGAAAAGAGCAGTCTCGGGATCAGAAGAAAAACTGGCATCAGATGCTGGAACTGACAGAGCTGGGTAGTACTGAAAGGCGAGTTGTCCCCGGGCCTTGTCCTCAGACTTTGTCCTGTCTATCACCAGGTGCTGTGCTTGCACTTGAAAAGGTTTCACTGGACAGCATATTTAAGAAACAAAGTTGATACGTACGTAGAATTCCCGCTGAGAGGCCTGGACATGAAGTGCTACCTACTAGAGGTAAGGAGCCGGGAGAGGAGTCTTCATAGAGAAGCAGGCACTGGGTTGTCCTTGACAACTGCTCCTAACTCAGCTCTTGGGTCCCCTCTCCTTTGTCTATAGCCAGAGAACAGTGGCCCAGAGAGTTGCCTGTATGACCTCGCTGCGGTGGTGGTGCACCATGGCTCTGGGTGAGTCGTCACCTTCTTGGAGTTGGGAGTACTTGGGAGCCACACAAGAGGGCCTGAAATTTCTAGTCGTGCCCTAAAAATGGTTGCAGTGTTGCTCTGTGGATCATGGAGGCCATGCGAAAGCAGAATGGGGCAGTGCATCCTCTACCCCCACCACTACAAACTGGCTCCCTCTGCCAGTCCAGACTTAAGTGGTAACATTTGCAATAACTCACCCGTGCCATCTACTTTAAAGATTCACTTTTAGTTTTTTGTAGAATAAGTCTTTTGTTTTGTTTTGTCCTGGAAGCTTGTATTTGGGGTTTACCTTTCTGATTTCTGGTCTGATAAAGAATAGTTATTTTACTTTCAAACTTGGACTGGTATACTTGGGCAAGCTACCATCCATAGCACAAATCCTTTCCCTCACTGTGTAGACACCACTCCACTGACCCGGAGCAGTGACTCTGGGGAGGCTGAGCAGCCTGTTGCTTTTACATTTGTAGTCTCTCTTAGACTGAGAAAATAAGGTAGATTCTGAATTAATAGGAACAGGGACACTTTTAAGTGTCTTTACTAATGAAGTATATTTATATTCAACCTTTTTTTTCTCTTGGAATTCATAAGATCCTTTCTGCCATTCAACTCTGTACTGCCAATCCAACACATTTTTGTACATGGCAATTGTATTTTTTTCTAATGTCCTGTTCCTGACACTGTTGGCACTAGAGAGTTTGTGTTCTCTGGCTCTCTGCACAGGGTCCTCCAGTGATGCCTCGCATATCCCTTATCTCTGAAGCTGTATCTTTCCCTAGTGTATGGGAAAGCAAGATTCTGCTAAGGCACTTTGTAGCAGCTATGGCAGTCTTCACCTGCTCTTTCCGCCCAGGCAGAGCCCTTTGTGACTAAGTCACAGGGGAGGCTTTCTTCAGGGCACACTGATGTCTAAGCTGGGGTTTTGCCCCAACTTTCTGACAAACAATCTAGCATCAGTTTTGCATGTTTTCAGAGGCTTCCACATATACTTATGAAGGCTGTCTGCAGCTCTCTAGTTTCTGCATGCCTCAGCGCCATCTGCTGTATGTTCTAGAAAGTTATTTCTGTGGTCGGTTGGTGTATTGTTTCCCCAGTGTCAGTATATTCCTTGTCTGTGGGTGTAGAGGGAGGTGAACACAGTTCAACTAACCGTCTCAAACTAGACATCTCCATTCCTTAATTACTGTACTTACTAATACTTTTAACACTGCACAGCAGGAAAGATCCTTTAGTGACTCCTGTAGTCTTTTATCCTCGTCTTCGAGACAGGGTCTCACTGTGTAACACTAGAACTTGCTATGTTGACCAGGCTGGCCTCAAACTCACAGAGGTCCGCCTGCCTTTGTCTCCCAAGTGCTGGGATCAAAGGTGTGCGCCACCACCCAGCCCTTTCTATATTTACTCACTTTACTGCTGTAGTCTTTTCCTTTATCTTTTGCCTTTTCTTTACAGGGTCGGTTCTGGACATTACACGGCATATGCAGCTCATGAAGGCCGCTGGTTCCATTTCAATGACAGTACTGTAACAGTGACCGATGAGGAGACCGTTGGGAAGGCAAAGGCCTACATTCTATTCTATGTGGAGCGTCAGGCCAGAGCTGGGTCAGATAAACTTTAATACCTCCTCTGATCACGATTCATAAACTATACCGGACAAACATTTCCAATTTTCCATAAATACTTGATCCAAGAGTTAATTTCGTTATGCACTTTTCAATTTCCAGTTTGGGGTTTAGTTTGGTCAATGGTAGTGACTTACTCAATATGGGCACCAACTAATTTTTGTTGTTGTTCTACCAGAAAACCTCAGCAGGCATCTTGATTGGCTGCTTTAGTTGTAATAACTCGAGTTTTATATGTAGTTTCCAGGACTTAGTTCTGTTTGGCTTTTTATATGAATGTTTTCAGTTCTCACCAAGGCACATGTGCTCTGTCCTTACATGCTGAGAGCCACCCTACCTGCTGCCTTTCACAGTGGCTGGGTCGTGTACGCAGGACCTGTGGCTCACGGTCTCACAGTGACTGCTCAGGAATGCCCTCTGACCGCAGGCGGCAGCTGAAGGTCACAGACCAGGCCGTCACCGCTGCCTGTGTCTCGGGGCTGTTGTTTCTCAGCATTAAATAAATCTGTCAGTTCTGTTGCATCTGTGCTGAAGTCCCAGAATTGCTCTCTTTCTGTTCTACTCTTAGTATTTTCCTGGAGCAGAAAGGCTAGGAACGGCTACCTGGTAGAGGTACATCCCGTCCCATGAGGCGGATTCTGGGTGCTCATCAGAGGTGAGGTGTTAGCCTCCAGAGTTGACAGTCACCTGACTTCAAGTGTTGCTGTAGCACCCTTTCCAGACAGAAGTGGCGTCATCTTTAGTCTGGTTTTTTTTTTTTGCTCCCTGCCTGATAGCAGAGCCAGGAGAAAGTATTTTTGTCTCTGAACAAGAATATTTTCTATTCTTGAATTCAGTTGCTTAAAAAAAAATACTGTTTACAAAAATAGATGGAAGCACTATTTGGATTCAACCAAAATGGGAGTTTGGCCCATTTAAAGAAGGCAGCTAATGACAAGTGCTGGAGGCCAGTGATTGAGGGTGGAGGAAATGCAACCTGCAGGTCAGAGTCTAGAACTCCCAACATGGCTTGTTCCACGTTCACTCCCAGAAGGGACAAAGTGCACTTCATGCAGACATCCTAGCACTCTTATTTTTTCTAGTTAAAGAAAAGTTTGGTAGCTTTCCTTGGTTAGTGTGAAGTTGATGGCGCAGACATGGCCCGATTCCACTTTAATATCAGCTGGATAAATCCTGAATTTCCTCAGAGCAGAAATGACATAGATCAGCATTTCAATATAAACCTAATTGGAACCCGTCAGGACAGTGGCCACATGTGGGAAATTGGAAATACATTCCTCAGTCACAGTAGTCATGTTCCCAGTGCTGGATATAAGACAGTGCAGTCTAGTGCATTTCCACAGGATATGGCTCTCTTGCACAGCACTGGTTTAAACTATCATGCAGAAAAGGCTATGGCACCATCGTGTTAAAGCGGGCAGACCTTGAGGAGCTGTGCGGAGTTACGAGATAGAGGCACATGCAGTTCTGTTATTCTGGTTTGATCCACAGACTGAGGGTCACTTGACTTGCTCTAATATATTTGAACCTTGATTAACACAGCTAAAGCCTGAATGTGAGTCTCATTTGACGTTACACAAGCTCTTGCAAATCCAGGCTCTTCTTAGAAGGGAGACTCTAGACTCAGCAGTGGCATTTATGTCTTGACCTCTCAATGGGAAACTTCAATGACTTCCAAAGACTCAGATGAAACTGACACTGTCCATCAGGTGGAGCACATGGCAGATTGACTGCTCTGTTGAGGAGGTGATGGGCACGACAGGCGACACTGTTGGCATACAAGGGGAAGGCATCCTCTCTGGGAATTTTTGTAGTGGTTTTGTTGATTGATTTCACTTAAGCAACAGTGAGTGACCGAATGAAGATTCTTTGAGAAAGTGGCTGCTTCCATTGCGTTCTACATCTGAACATCCATGATGTAAATATGCCTGTCTGTATTTTAATTGTAGCCTTATTTACCTGTTGGGAGCTCATCTTTCTGTGCTGCTTAAGACTTTCCCATGTCATGCATTCTAGGCCGCATGCAGCTTTTTGTTCAGACCTTGTGCTGAGGCAGGGCCTCACACGTACCCTGTCCCATCAGCCCCTGGGAACAGGAAACTCCAAGTCCTCCCACACAGGTGGGGATACAAACAGTTTGTGGCAACACAAGTCTCTCTCCATGGTGGAGAAACCTATGCTTATCCACTGTATTCTACTCAGTGTGTAGTGATGACAGATGATACAATTAAACCAGTCACATGTGCTGGCCCTGGTTGAGTGTCATGTGTCTCACCTGTGCAACCTAGAGTTATTCCTTAAAGCTAAACTTTCCCTTCTTTGGTTTAATGTACATACATTTCACCCATTGTAACCTCCTTAGTCCCCTAAACTTTCTCATTTCTCCTGCTGCTGACGTCACCTCTTGCTCAAGCTCTGGAAAGGCTCAGGTAAGAAGTGTCTCCACAGCCAGAGCACCAGTCACCCGAGGCCAGGGGCAGCCCTGAGAAAATGCCACAGCACAGGAAGAAGGGGGCACATATGTCTGTGACTGTCACCACTGGACAGTAGCCCCTAGGTGAATGGTGGCTGTGCTAAGATCATTTGCCATTAGAACTTGGTAGTCCATAAGATGGCGAGGGAACATCATGGTGCTCATGACTATTGTTCTGGCTGTAGTCACATCCTAGTCCCACCGCAGCAGCTGGGCTGTTAGGTGGAAAGTGGCATTAAAGGTCTCTTTTCTGTCTGTCACTCCTGCACTGTTTCCAGTAGAACTGAGACATGGCAGAGCAGGGCAGCAGGGGTGGTCCTGTAGCTTACACGGGCAGGAGAGGGGGTGGCCTTTCGGAAGCTGCTGCTGTCTTAGGTTTTTCATGGTGCTGTGTTAAGAGCAACCTCGTTAGTTCCCGCCATGCCTGTCCTCAACTGTGCTGCAACACCATACACCACTCCTAAAAAGCAGCGGGGAGGTGCATACATCTAGACCATTTCCATTTCAATTAAACATTCAAAAACAAAGTGAAAAAGAGCTGCCTCTGCCTAGCCTCACATTTTGGGAAATACTATCTGGGACAGACACACAGACACACACACACACACACAATGAAATACTATCTGGGACACACACACACACACACACACACACACACACACACACACACACACACACACACACACACACACACACACACGAAACCCTGAATCTACTATCTGGGACAGACAATGAAACCCTGAATCTACACACACACACACACACACACACACACACACAAAAGCTGAATCTTTATGAAACAGTTAAGGGTAAACATAGACCATTTGGGCCAGGGAAATCCTTTGTCCAGTAAGGGCATTGGAATTTGAATTTAGCTCAGCCTCGTCTGCAAGCCATTAATCTCCTGAGCTAAAGTAACGGAAAAGCATGACCCTCAATTTCACTCACAGCTGGGAACATGTTACCTCCCTTGGCTGGGGGCGTGGGTGGTGGGGATAGCACTGGCCTCTTCCTAGCAAGGGTGAACAAAGGAGCCACACAGGCACACTCTGAGACGTAACAGTTAACATTCACCACCACCCTGCTAGGGAGAAAGACTGAAAGCACCGGAGGGCTGTTGCAGCCAGTCACCTCCAATGGCAATACCTTGGAAAGTCAAGAGCTTTGTGCTCAACACTACTTTGTGTCAGCTCAGAGGTGGGGGAAAAACCCTTTTAAGGAAACTAACTTCAGTGGGCTGCTCTGATGCCAGGACTTTCAGGCCCTCTAGACATAAGCCGAACCACAGATGGCTGCAAGTCAGTCTGGATCCTGACACCCGCCCTCCCCACCCCCAGCTTCAGCACCAGTTGTTGGCCAAAAATAAACACCATTCCTCAACCATATATGTCCACCAGTCCTGATCTGAGGAGGAAGCAGGAGGCAGGTCAGACCCTTGCTGGGCACACTCACGTGAGGCAGCCACTCGCCATGCACATAACCCAGCTCAATCGGGAGTGCCTGCTCTGCCTCTTCTCCTTCCTGGACAAGGACAGCAGGAAGAGCCTCTCCAGGACTTGCTCCCAGCTCCGGGATGTGTTTGAGGACCCCACCCTGTGGCCCCTGCTGCACTTCCATTCTCTCGCAGAGCTCAAGAAGGACAACTTCCGGCTGGGCCCTGCACTGCGCAGCTTGTCTATCTGCTGGCATTCCAGCCGCGTGCAGGTGTGCAGCATCGAGGATTGGCTCAAGAGTGCCTTCCAGAGGAGCATCTGCAGCCAGCACGAGAGCCTGGTCAATGACTTCCTCCTGCAGGTGTGCGACAGGTAGGCCACCTTGCCCCAGCCAGCAGTGGCCTTGCTGGCCTTTTGGCTCCAGGGGGTGGAAGCACACATTCCAAGAGCAATATGGCTCTCAGTCTAAGGCAGCAACCAGTAACCCAAGAGCTGGGTAAAATCAGCTCAGTCTGCACTCCTAAAGCTGCTTTTGTGGCAAAAGAGTGGAGGGTCAGCTGGCTCTGTCCGTGGAGCAGCTGTCTTTACTGGCAGCAGCTCTTTACTGGCAGCCATGAAGGGTTTGCTGGGTTCAGCTTAGCCTGGATTTTCAAGGTCAGGCCCTAGGAAAAAGACTCCAGAGGCATCAGTGGGCCCAGGCCTCTGATGTGTCCTAAGCAGTCCCCAAGGACTGAGAATTGCTAATGAAGGAGAGCCAAGTGCAGAGTAGCCGTGAGTGTCTCTGAGAACATGCTCAGAGTAGTGGTGAGTGTCTCTGAGAACAAACAGTTACATAGTACCCAGGAGGCTCCAAGAGGTAGTGTGATGTAGCCAGTATGGGGCCACCAGATTCTTAGCAAATAAGACATATACCACTCAGTTAAATTTGAATTTGAGATAAAGCAACTCATTTTTAATATAAGCAAGCCCCTCAAACATCCCCTATCTGATCTTTTGACCTGCATCCCTTGCAGGGACAGTCACCAAATGGGTTGGTCACACCTTCCTGTGTAGGACAGCTCTGGCTGACATGGCTCTTGTCAGCAGTTAAAGAGAAAAGAGTCCCTTGCTAGCTAACAAGCTTGGATGGCTGCCAGCTGCTGCCACGCAAGGTTGATAGTCACTGTTGGCTGGCCTCCCATAGGAACAGGAAATAATTACGTGGCCTGCCTTTTCACTTGCTAGTACACAGGAGAAGGGTAAAATCAGCTGGGCTGTAAGGGAGTCATCTAGTCTGGATTCTCCTGCCGTAGTCATTCTCAGTCTAAAACTAAGGCCAGATCAGGAATATGCTGAGGGCTAAAATGCACTTTCATAACCTTCATGAGTAACAGTATCAGAACTACAAAGTATCTACCTGTCAAGTCACCTGAGCCATTCTGAGCCAGACTCTTCATTTACAAAAGTGGGGTAGCACGTGGGGGTGGGGGTGGAGGGGTGGGTGATGAGCGCCAGCTGTGCTGAAGGCCCATAGACTTGAGGGACTCATGGGCTCAGTGTGTGAATGGTGCCGCGCCCAGTACATTGTAAGTTACTTTCATCTACCAGGCACAAGGGGTGGGAGGGAGGGTGGTGTGGAAGGGAACCTGGGCCTCCTTTACTGCAGGGCTCGGGCCCACTGGAGACCCCCTCCCCCGAAGCCAGATGCCCTCCTGGTCTCCAGGAGAGTGGGTTACATCTGCCTGCAGGGGGCTTCCGCTCACAACCTCAATCCTCACAAGCGCATGGGTACACACTGCCCCACACCTGCCACCCAGAAGTGAACTGGCTCAGTGATAGTCGGCCACGCTACAAATAAGTCCCGGGCGTGCTCCACAGTGTCCCAACTTCAGGGCCTGGCTCTAGCTGCCATGGGCTCCAGGCTGCAGGGAATGAAGTGACTGTTGAGCAACCGAGCTGAAAGCTAGGCCCAACACTGGCTTCTTGTCATTATTCATTACTCCAGGAGACTCTTCCGCTCCCAGCCCCTGGGAGGATCAAAGGCACACAGCTGTCTCTCCCAGAGACTGAATAGCTCCAGCAGACGCAGGGGGCCCTGACCGCAGTCCTCGACACGTGGACTCGCGGCCGCCCCCTCCAGGGCAGGACTCAGTGTCCCGCATCTCGGTCACCGCGCTCTCCCCGCAGGTGCCCCAATCTGGCGTCCGTCACACTTTCTGGCTGCGGTCACGTCACCGACGACTGCCTGGCCCGCCTGCTGCTCAGCTGCCCGCGCCTGCGCGCGCTGCGCCTCGAGAACTGCGCGCGCGTCACCAACCGCACTCTGGCGGCCGTGGCCGCGCACGGGCGCGCGCTGCAGACGCTGCACGTGGACTTCTGCCGCAACGTGAGCGCCGCAGGCCTGCTTCGTCTGCGCGCCGCCTGCCCGAACCTGACCCTGAGCGCCGAGCACAGCGCGGCCATGATGCCGGACCAGCCGCCGCTCGCGCGCGGGTGCGCTGCCTCGGTTTCCCCGGCTGCACCTGGGGGCCGATGCCAACCTCACGCCACGAGTTCCCGTGGAGGACGCGCGCGCGATTAAACGAGCGGACGCTTGTAAAACATTCGGTGGTTCTAACGTCCCTCCGGACCCCGCGGGTCTTACCCGCGCGCTCACTAGCACCAGCGGCGGGACCGTGCACTAGGCTGGCGAGGAGCCTCTGAATGGTGGGGCACACACCGAAGCAGGATGCACAAGCCATTCTAGAAAACTCGCTCCCGGCCCTGCATGACTGATAGTTATCAATATTTCTCCTACGGTTATCACAAGGGAAAATGTGTCACTTGAAAAAAAAAAAAGACCAGTATTTAAAGATAAAAGCAATAGCTCTAGTTAAGTGCTTAGATATGGAACCATTATTAGCTGATGAAAGAACAGACTTTTCATTTCCTAGATTTGCTGGTCCTGGGCCTGGACTTGAGGTCGGTATCACTTTAGTCGTCCTGTCCCCATGGCCAGGGCCTAGACAGGGATGGAGCAAGCAGGTAAATGGATATGACTCGGAGGAGGGCATGAAGCTCGGGTGACTCCTTCCACCGCCAGCTGTAATCAAGGCTCAGTCATTTATCTGCTGCCAGGTTTTTCAGTTTTCTGTGAAATGGTTTCCCGATTCCGACCCACAGAGGAGAAACAGCAAGAAAAAGACAGATTCTGTTCTGTTCCCACGAAGCCTCTATTTTGATCCAGGCAGTAATTGGTCCAGAAGGTGACTTGTGGGGTAGGGAGGGGATGGCTCTGGGATTGGTGGCAACCCCGGTGGTGGGGAGGCACTCAGAAGGGGTTGACCAACTAAATCTCATGAAGAAGGTGACACTTGAGCCATGAATCGAGCCAGGGCTCCCAGCAAGCCATATGGACACTGTTAGAAACCAAGAAACTTTCAGGGCGCCAGACTGAACATTGTTGGGTGTTAGCTACAGCGATGAGATCAACATGGCTGGAGAGGGGTTGAGAACGGGACGAAGGAGCTGTGAAGGGCAGATTATGGGAAGGATTAAATGAGCCCTTGGGGGTCACCTCATGCCAGTGGGAATCAGCAGGGCACACACAGGGAAAGCCAGTGAAGTTCAAGAACAACGTCCAGGCTCTCACCCCTCTCTGGGCAGAGCAAAGCTGCTGTCAAAGGCCTGAGCCCACAGGGTTAAGGCATTATTTCCAATTAAAATAAACTGAAGCCTGCAGACTGCACACCTCATCTCAGCGGGAAAGCACTGCTGTCACTGGGAGGAAACCCAGGAGTCAAAGGGACCTTAACCTCATCAGCACAGAGCCCTACTCTTAGGGAGACTCTCGGGGCCCAGAGACCCAGGCAGAGTCTTCCTACCAAGACCAGAATTAAGGGCTTGTCTTTATCCAGAAGTCCCTGGTGTCTCCCAGAAACTTCAGTCTTTCTCTAAGGCTCAATTCTCTGCTTTTCACTCAGATTCATGCACTACTTGCCATGGCTGGCAGAATCTCATTTTTCTGAACATAAACACTGCTTTTCTGCTGATAAATAACTACCTTCCCATTTCTCTGCCTGATCCCTTATTTCCCTTGACTCCATGGGAAGCAGCCTGTGACACAGACTTGGTAGGAATAAAAGAGACAAGATGCCCACAGACCTCCAACCCTTTTTGGTAAACTGCAGAAGCCTCACAGCCACCTAGAGGCAGCTCAGATGGGCAATTAGCAACCACCCACGGGGCTGGGTCCAAGCACCAAGTGGGACTTTCTCAATCCCTCACACAACTCTCTCATCCACACACTAGCCCTCACACGAATTCACAGCACTTGTTATGCATGCTGAGTCTGCAGTGCACAGCTGTCCCTTCTGGGCCACCCTTTCCTTTGATGTCCTTTGGTCCTATGGCTTGCTCATTCTGTCTCTAGATCTGACCACATGGCATCGGCATGGAGATGCTGTCCCACATCCATGTGCTGAAGCTTTGCAGGAGGGGTGCTGCCAAAAAGCTCTGCTCCAGAGTGAGGAAACAAAACCAGACAGACACCCAGGATGCCAGGAGAACATAGGGAAGGAGGCAGCCAGGTCCCAGCGTCTCCCACCACTGTGACCCTTGGTAGTATCTTTTTCAGATGAAACCTGCCCCAGTTTCTGAATGGCCAAAGAGCATCAACGTGACACTGGCTGCACAGCAAAGCTTATGCCATCTGGGCTCATGTCTGCCTCAACTCCTAGCCCGGAGCTTCCCTGGTTCAACAACAGTAGCTTCCAGTCTGATTCCTGAATCTATTTTATTTCTTTGCGTAAGGAACCCTGCACAGGCGAATCAAACTAAAACAAAATAAATATATGAATATTCATGTAAAACTGTCCTTTCTAATGAACAATTATACACAATGTACAGTTTCATGTTCACTGGGTAGGCTTACAAAAATGTATCATTCCCAACTAAAAATGCACCAAAATGGTTTCATGCAAACTTATCCAAAGTGACCAAAAATACAGAGGGAAACCTGACTGAGCAGTTTCTGCTTTTGTTTTTGTACAATCACTTGAAAAATAAAAACATCTAATTTCTTTGTTTCATTTGAAGTAACTAAATGTGGCCACTGTTTATGTCAGCTTATGTTCCTAAAACATCTATGCAGTTACCATAAAAGTGTGTCAACATCAAATCAGAAGTGAGCATTGTTGAGAAGGGGTGGTGACAGCACCCTCATTGGTCAGTAGTCAGTGTCAGAGCCCTCGGCGTTGTCCACGTTTCTCGAGAGCATGTAGTTGTCCATGTCAATTGAACGGCAGTTGTTGATGGCATAGCGCAGGCGCTCAGCCATGACCAGCTGGCTGGAATAGGGGGGCAGCCTCAGCTGGAAGAAGCAGGTCTGTGAGGTAGGCAGGCTGTCATAAGGCTGTGGAAAGACAGACCCAGAGCGTTACAAAGCACACTGTAAATGCAGGGAGCGTGGAGCCAACTACTCACTGCCACTGCCAAGACAGGCAAGGCTCCTCCCTGACTTCAAGTCCTAGGTTGTAACCACTGGTTCATTTGCATGGAAGAAGGGGTTAGGACCTGGCAGAGGCACACGGATCCACTGTCCTGGCCCCTAAGACTTTCAGGCAAGTTACTTCCTGTTTTGCACTGCCTCCAACGGCCCTGTAATGTCTGGTGATAAGTCCTGACTAGGACTGCTTGGGAGAACACTGCACAGAACCTGTCAGAGTTTAAGAGTACAGTGGGAGTTCCCTCCTGCCTACCAAGAGGCAGACTTGAGGTGATGGTGGGACCCCAATGAGTGCTTGACTCTTGAATTTGCTTATTAACCACCTTCAAAATGCAACTAGGCTGGGGATCTGCGGCGAGGCCTCTAGGGAGGCACAGCTGCCTAGCACTGCTGCCTTTATCTCTGGATTCTGGCGCAGCAGGTGTGCAGCAAACACACACAAAAGGCACAGGGCCTGAGAGGCAGAAGCATGAGGATGCCTTGGCCACTCAGGCGAGGATAGGGAAGGATTCTGTTGGCAACAAGGTTTCCACATTCACTTAGGACCCTTTCTCACCACAACTAACTCAAGTTCAAGTTTTATGCCTCATGTTTTTAGATTTTGATGTTCCAAAAGCTAGAGCCTGAATGCATAAGCCTTCTGGGAGGTTCAACTTTGGTTTCCCTAGCAGGCAAGCAACAGCAAAGGGAATAAGGCCACATTTTAACCAAGGAAGGAAAACTGCATACTTACCCTATCGACCTTCATGATTTGAAACCTCTGGGAAATGTCGGCGGTGTTGGCGGGCAGGCGGGAGCGTCCAGACACGAAGCGCATGAAGAGCACCCGCTCCTCATTGGAGAACTCTTCCAGCGTGCGCCACAGCCACTGTACCAGCTGGTGTTGTTCGTCCACCTCGCGGTAGCGCACGACCTTCTTCAGGACCTCCACACAGATCTCAGGCATCCCACACACCATCTGCTCCAGCTGCTTGGCCGTGAGGAGGGACAGCAGTGGCACAGGGACAATCCAAGACATCCCTTCTCGAACCGCAGCCACCTGTGTCCACGAAAGGTCGCTCATTTTGAGGTACATTTGTGCAAGTAGACAGACACGCATCATGGGCACAAGCTGTCTTTTCCAAGCCCGAGGTCTGAGTCCCGCCCCGCTCTGGAACACTTCCACTCCTCCCAGTCTTAATTCAAACTCCATGGAGTCTGCCTTCTCCCCCACAAAACTTCAGTGAGTGGGGTCCTCTTTGGGAGGCACCCACTCGTGTTTCTAGTCACACACAGCTACCTGCAGCTGTGTGCTGTGTGGCTGCTCCATCTCCTCACCCAAGTGAGCCGCTTTTGAGGACTGGTATGGTATAGATGGCTATTCTGGTGAAAACTGTGTCAATTTTTCCCCCCAAGATAGGGTTTCTCTGTGGCTTTGGAGACTATCCTGGAACTAGTTCTTGTAGACCAGGCTGGTCTCAAACTCACAGAGATCCGCCTGCCTCTGCCTCCCGAGTGCTGAGATTAAAGGTGTGTGTCACCACTGCCCAGTCTGTGTCCATTTTTGGAAAGCACCAAAAATATATAATAGAATGTCAATAAAGACAAAGGATTTTGTAAGGACATTGAATTCTAACTCTGGGATCCACCACTTACGATGATTTAAATTTTCTCACATGAAAATGGTTATTGTTCACCGTGAGCAATGGCTAGACGACCTGGGTGGGATCACCATTATTCACAGTCACCCTGCACAGGGCAGCTGGGTGGCTGGAGAATGAAGGAGGAATCCAGTCCTCTGCTCAGAAGCCCCTTGTGGTAGCCTCTGCTCAGAAGCAACCCTCCCTCGATACTTCTCTCTAGGTCCTCTTAAACTATCTCTGATAAAAAAGCAAACCACACCTCAGAAGGGGAGCTACACCTGGGAAAGGCCCTGGGGGTACCAGGTGCTATTGCTTACTGTGCCTGGGCCCGAGGGAAGGACTGCTGATAGCATCCCCAAGGTCCTAAGGGTGTATCTACACAGAGTGCCAAACCAACCCGCCAAGGCCAGGAAAACAGAAAACAAAACTGGAAGCAGTACTCAAGTGCGAGGCTGGCTGCTTGGAGGTGGCAAGGAGATGGCTGGAGAGTCACAGGAAGAACATGCCCTTCTACAAGACAGGCGGAAGTGAAAGCAGATGAGGCCACTTCACTGAGAGAGGAACAAGGTAGAGGCCGAGGCACAGAGGACAGGCAGCAGCTCAGCAGAACCAAGGAAGTCTAGATCCTGGATCTGTGGTGGGCACATGCTTATTCTCTCTAGATTCAGTGCTTCTGTGATGTGCAGCCAATAACCCTTATTTGCCAGAGTGCCCCAGGGAGAAAACGGCGCATTATGGGGTCCAGCACTAGGCACTGGCCAGTACACATTTAATCACTCTCTAAACTCTGAGGATTGAAAATGCTCATCAGGGCTGGGGATGTAACTCAGCAGCGTAGCACTTGCCTCTCACAGGCCAGACCCCAATCTTAATCCTCAGCAACATATACACAGACCCCCCCCCACTTTCTATCATGAATTGGAGATAAACCCTGAACCCTAGCCCTGTAAACACTGTCACTGACTAAAACCTAACTTCGCTAAACTAGGAAAACAGTTTAATGACTGAACTGGCCCCAAAGGCAAACTCAAAGAAGGAACTAAGATTGAGGGATATTGGGACTTCAAATAAAAACTTAGATATCCTCAGAGCCTAGATCCAGAGCTAAAAAGGACCCAACATAACCTAAAAATAAAACATTGAAACTATTAATGATCTTATGAAAAGAACCAACTTTGGACACAGTATCAATTCATATGGTCACTTATTCCTATCCCTAACATTAATTTGGTGTTTATTCGTGTTTTACCACAGACTGAGGAGAACACAAATGACAAAGATGCCCTCCTCACTTGCAGTCTTTCAAGCTGACTGAAGAAACAAGACCCACATGTTCTTAGGACACTACGTCCACACAAATATATAACCCAAGATGAGTGTATCTCAAAGGAAGGAAAGCAGTCTCTCCCGGTGAGGAGGCCCAGTCTGTGAAGGAGGCACATCCTAGCTGAGGCTGAAGGTCTGTACCAGGAGAAGGACGGAGGCGCTTGTGAGGCTGCAGGACCTGTGTTTAGGGCTGAATGACCCAGCTGGAGAAGTGCTAAGGAGGGGCCTTGATGCTAGGTGAGAGCATCACCTCATACAACCAATGTTCAATTCGGATCTGACTTACAGACTTGGGCACTGAGACATGACCTAAGAAGTCTCTGGATAGGGTCTGAAATGCAGATACAAGTGAATCTACACATGAATGGTAAATAATGGCCAGATCGGTGAGCTCTTGTGTGGATAAAGTAAAGCATTCCAGGACACCTTCTGCACCATGATGTTTCATCTCACCTGCCGGTCCATCTCATGCAGTCGATACTCAATGGCCCTTTCCACATACTCCTTCCTATTGGAAAATGTGAGTGGGATGCTATTTCCACCAGGGATTATGGGAACCATTTTGCCATCAGCACTCTGGCCAACAAAAGAATCAAGAGGAATCATCTAAGAAAAGAAAAATAAGGAATTTTATTACATGGTAGAAGGGATAACAAAAGGCATGTCTCACACAAAACACAGTAATAAAGACAAGGCTTTGGTACTGAAAGTAAGGTAGACCAGGCAAGTGTGACTGCTCAGACCATGCTGACCCCTCTGCTACAGGTAAAAGGAGGCACGTCTTTGCTGTGTTCAGCCATCTAGGAACATGGGTCCCTTTCCAGTTGGTGCCCCTGGTTGTCCATTGATGGGCAGAAAAGCTGTTAAAGTGGAAGGGGCAGAAGCTAGGGACTAACATTAGCAGCTACCAAGACCACTAAGACTGAGCCACTAGGGGCAGCTTGGCCCAGACGTGTCAGGGTTAGGTCAACAGAAACAGGAGGACAGCATCTGATTCTACAGAGAAAGCTTCCAGTCTGTACACATATTGGAGAAGCTGGGGTTTACCTCATGGAAACTCTCCTCAGTAATGCCGCTGTCTTCGATGTGAAGGATGCTGTTAAGGGTCTGCACGTAGAGCAGATCCACCTCCTCCAAGTCCTCCAGGGTGAGTGGGACACAGCACAGCTGCTTCCACACTAGAGGGGCCAGGTGAAGGTCCAGAGGCTTCTTTGTACGAATGGCAACCCCCATTAAAATTCCCAAGAACTTAAACTGCATTAAGTGTTCATCAAGACAGGCAGAGGGATTAAAAAGGAACCTGAGAAAGAAAAGCAAATCTTTCAGCAAAAGATGAGTTCCCCACAGCTACAGCATTAGATCAGACCTGAAACTCACTATGTAAACAAGCCTGGCTTCAGACTCAGAGTCTGCCTCTGCTAGGATTAAAGGGATGTGTCACCACACCTGCCTTCTACCTTGTTTTTGAGATGGGATCTCTCACTACATTTGCAGCTTACCTGGGTTTGCCTAGGTTGGCCAGCCATTGAGTTCTCAGAATTGGCCTGTCTCTAGCTCCCAGCACTGGAGTTCCAGGCACAAGCAGCCATATCTAGGTTTTATGTGCTGGGGTTCTGAACTCAGGTCCTCTTGTTTTCAAGGGCTCT